TCCCCTTCTTCTTTATCCAAACATCATCTTTCTTCTTTTGCTAACATTAAAGGGGGCTCCATGAGGGTTGGGACCTTGCCTATCTTGTTTGATGCTGTATTTTCAGACTCTAAAGTAGAGCTTAGCACAGGGGTCCTCAAACTTTTTTGTGTGTGTGCAGCTTTTGGCCAGGGCTGGGTTTGAACCCACCACCTCTGGTGTATGGGTCCGGCGCCCTACTCCTTGAGCCACAGGCACCACCCTCTCAAACTTTTTAAACAGCGGGCCATTTCACTGTCCCTCAGACTGTTGGAGGGCTGGACTGAGGGCCCCGGGGCGAGTCAGCTGCTAAGCAGGACAGGCAGCAGCAGCAAAAACACCTGGCTGGCCGGATAAATGTCCTAGGCGGGCTGCATGTGGCCCCGCAGGCCATAGTTTGAGGACGCCTGGCTTAGCAGATAGTAAGTGCCCAATAAATGTTGCTGAACGTAATTAAATCAAACTCCTTCCTAGACAAACTCTTATCCATACTTCAAAACCCAGCTCACATTCAGCTTCTGTAAAAGCTTTCGTGACCAGTGCCCTCCCAGCACGGCTGGGACCTTTGCTCTTGTACTGCTGCTGGATGAAACACCCTGTTTTTCATTCATGGGGCTCCGAGTTTACACGTGGCCCACTCAACACTGAGGCTCAAGGATCTGGTAGTCAGCCAGTGAGTAGGGTGACTGCCCCAGCTGGGAAACCTGGTGGATGATGAGAAGCAGGGCAGCTAAAGCCAAACTCCCCATCCTCAGGTCCTGTAGAACACGTGTGAATCTGGAAAATGTTCTTGGCCTTTCTGGGTAGGAGGCTCCTTATCCACAAAATAACAGTGATGAATCATAGAGAGTTGCGGTGAGAAGCTAATGGCACACAGGTTGCTTAGAATGAAGGTTGGCACACAGTAAACACTCAAGTGGTTTAAATGACTTTATGTTGAGATTTACAACTTTGGCATAAATATGCGTGGCATCAACAGATGAAAAGGGAATAAGGGGAAATAAGTAGAGTTAGTGCTGGAAAATTAGGATAATCTAATGACACATAAGGACACCCCCCAGGTGAGCTGACCGAGGTCCATACTGGCTTGTTCCAGGGAGATCTCTCCACAGGCCACTGGCTCTCTATGACTGATCCATGTATAGGAATCTTGCTCAACGCAGGGGGTGATATCCATTCAAGGGCCTGCCCACCCACACCCCAAAGGACACTTAAAATATCATCTCCAGCTCATCGCACAAAACCATCATATGACCTAGCCATTTCTCACTCCAAAGAGAGTTACAATTTATGAAACTTCCCAGAGCATTTTTTTTAGAGAACACAAGAGCATGGAGCACAAAACAAGTGAACTGGGAAGGAGCACAGCTTGGCTGTCACTGAGCCGATCGCCCCAGGCAGCCCTATGCCCGGCCCCTTCCGTCATCTTCCGATGCATCTGTCAGAGGACAAGCCCTTCCTGACTGGAGCCGATTGCAGGTTCTGTCCCCAAAGGGCCTGCTGACCCCAAGCAGCCAAACATCTCCTGGGAGGCGTAGGTCATGTACACAAAGCCGTCCTCGTCCTTGTAGTCCCTGTAGATCTCTGCCATGGTCACACTGAGGCTGGCCAGGCTCTTGTTGTTCACCAGCAAGTAAAAGGCTTCAGTGGCCCTCAGGACCATGCGGCTCCTGGAACAGGAGGAGGGGGGTGAGAGGCGGCCCTGGGAGGCAGCCTGAGACTCTGCAGGACCACCATGCTGGGGAAGGCGGAACTGCTCCCTCGGCTTCCCCGGAGATCTAGGAACCACAACTCCTCTGAGTTGGGTTAAAAAAGTGAGGCTATCCCGTTGTTAACTAGGAGACATGCCAACACGAAAACACTGAGCAAATGAGCCCTGGGGAGAGGAAATCAGAATACTCTTAAATAACTCATTTAAACAAAATAAAAAGATAAACAGGCTCGGTGCCTGTGGCGCAAGTGGCTAAGGCACTAGCCATATACACCAGAGCTGGCAGGTTCGAATCTAGCCTGGGCCTGCCAAACAACAATGACGGCTGAAACCAAAAAATAGCTGGGCATTGTGGCTGGTGCCTGTGGTCCCAGCTACTTGGGAGGCTGAGGCAGGAGAATCGCTTGAGCCCAGGAGTTGGAGGTTGCTGTGAGCTATGATGCCACGGCACTCTACCCAGGGGGACAGCTTGAGGTTCTGTCTCAAAAAATGAAATAAAATAAAAAGACAAACATTCATACATAGTGAATTGTCAAAGAAACAAGCAGCCTCTAAGCCGCTGCACAGCTTCTGACCAGACTTTTCAACCCTGTGAAACCTTACCCTCTGGGGCTATGTAATTTAGTCCTAAATCATTGTTTATTGAATCCATATGTCAGATGACTCTCCTCAGCTGTCTTAAGCTTTAAAATAGCTACTTTGTTGGGCAGCGCCTGTGGCTCAAAGGAGTAAGGTTCTGGCTCCCTATGCTGGAGATGGTGGGTTCAAACCCAGCCCCGGCCACTCCCCCACCCCCCAAAAATAGCTACCTTGTCTTTGTAGCATCTCTGCATTAACCCACAGGAGGAGTGGGTTCAGGGGATGAATTCCCTGTTTTTCCTCTCAATATTCTGAGCAGGGAGCATTTGTTTTTTTGCGAAGGTCCCCACCCCTAGGTGCACACACACTTGAAAGGTGCTGGTCTCTGCTGCCGACGTACAGACTTGGTTTCAGGCAGTATCTGGAAGGGTCTTCTAGACTAGTTTCAGAGCTAAGACTACTTTAGGAATTTCTTAGACGTGTTGGCAGCTCGTGCTGTCTTTTATTGTCTGAGAGGGTTCTCCTCACCTGTTTAAAATAGTCCTTCTCAGAGCAGGCAGTACAGAATCTAAAAGAAGAGTCACCAAAAAAGGCCCCTTCCCATTTTTCCCCTGGAACGCTTCCATCCCCCAAACAAAACCACAAAACAAAGGTCACAGGAAGAGCCCAGGTATGCAGAGCACACCTTCCTCCCCGGGTGCAGCGCGCCACCTACCGGATGATGCCGAGGAACTGGGTCATGGTCAGCTCCTGTGGGACCAGAAACTTGGTTTTGTCCAGCAGGGGCAGGAACTTCTCCCTGGGGCAGCGCTCCACTATCACCTGTCAAGAGTTTCCACCCTTACAGTCCTCTCTGTCTCAGGAACTTGGAACAGAGAGGGAGGTTGCTGGCTTCCCGTGCTCTGTCCCTCCAAAGAACAGGACCCCGAATCGCAGCCCCCCTGAGTATTACTCAGTGGAGTCTTACCGGGATCTTGTTTGGGAATTTTGCCCGGATTCCAGCCACTTCCTCTTGCCTGGTTGCTGTGAATATTTCAAGTACAAAAGAATAGACAATAAGAGAAGGTTATATCCTTCCCTCTCTCTTTCTCAAGTATCCCAGAGAGCAACTCCCTAGAACTTTACCTAAGCTCTTCCTCTGCTTGAAAGGTCTGAGGCTTGGGATTTGCTGGGGAGGCGGCATTTTACTCGACAGCTGTATCTGGATCTGTCTTAAAAATGAAAAAAAAAAATCCCACAACCAGGCGCTAACTCATTCCACCAGCTGCTCTCAAACTGCCTGCAGGAGGCTGAAGGAGGCCCTCTGTAGAGCTGAGTGACATCAGGCCTCTCCCAACCCTGCCTTCTCCCCACCCCCCCACACCCTCCCTGGGCAGCAGGAGGTTAGTTCTGAGCATGGAAATGGAATAGCCACCTGCTCGTTGGTCAGAGAAAGTCACTTGGTTCATGACCAGTTCAAGATGTGTTTTTGCTAAAGAAATTAGGGTTTGTAGTTAAATCACTGGTGATACACTCCAACAGCCTAGATCTGGGCTTGGGAGAGGTAAAAACTGCCTGTGCTGAGGACATTTTTGCACTTTGGTAACCAACCATCTTGAGGGAAGTCCAAGACAGATCCACCTCACCCTGAAATGGGCCGTTCAAGTCTCACAACAGTCTTGCTATTTTTCACAGGAAGAAACCTACAGTCATAAAGGCAAGGTGGTTTGCCCCCAGTCATGCAGCTAGAAAAAGAACCAGTTGGGGTTAAAACCTAGAGGCGTCCCGAGGTAGTACAGGTTATACACTGCCACACGCTGTCATTTTATTCTGCAATAAAGGAGGGAAGGAAGGACGATTGCCCCTAAGAGCTTCCTCTAAGAGATGAGAACCTAGCTGTTTGGTAAGATAGCACGTATAGGAAAAAGCAAACTCCGTTTTTCCTCTATTTTGACAGCAGCTTCTGACACCAGATGTGCAAGGGAGTTGCCCCACAAACTACAGCAGACACCAACTGACTGTCCTCCAATTTAATTCTGA